TTCCCGTCCTCCCGTCCCCCCATCCTCCCATCCTCCCCTCCTCCCCTCCCCATCCTCCCATCCTCCCGTCCTCCCCTCCCCATCCTCCTGTCCTCCCGTCCCCGTCCTCCATTCTTTCAGGGACTCTGGGCATGCACAGATGTGCCCTCACCCAGTGTCTAGGTGTTCTGGAGTGTTACCTTCTTAGGCCTGTGAGGCTTTGTGTCTACATTTAGGCCTTTAATCCTGGCTGGGTTAATTCTGTGACGCTGTGAGGTTGCTGTCTAGATCCTCTTCCCAGTGGAGGTCTGGGGCCACCGCGGCCTGCAGGACGCCTGCGCTCGCTCGCGGCCTCCCTTGGGAGACCAGCTGGCTGGATCTGTGCGGCCCATTCTCTTGGCCTGGACCAGTTTTGAGATTTAAAATGTCCAGAACTCGTCCCTGGGTAAGAGCTCAGTGAGGATAGCATCAGGGCGGCCAGAATAAAATCTTCAAGGAAATGAGAGGTCGAGGGTCGTTCAGAAAAAGACCGAAGGGAGGGAGGCGCAGACATTCCAGGAAGAATTGCCAGGCCGGTCACGGGTCTTCCCCATTACCGCGCAGCCCCTCGCCGGAGGAGCCGGCTGTCCCTGGCACTGTCTCCCGCGTGGGAAGGAAGGCCTGGGCGTGGAGGCTGGGAGAGTCTGGGCCTCCATCCTTGGGCCAGGCCAGATGAGAACATGGCAAGAGCAATGGGGGCGTCACTGGGAGGGAAACGTGGCAGAGAACAGGACGCCAGGAGAAGGCGGTCCTGCCGACCAGCCGCAGCCAGCCTCCGCTCCGCTCCCACAGGCCTGTTCCTTCAGGGAACACCTTGGCGCCTCCCTGCCTCCCTTCCTACCGGCATGCAGTAGTCCATCCTGCCGACAAGCGTCTTAAAGTGGGAGTCCAGACGTATTTCCAGTGACGGCCTGGGTCACACGCTCAGCCGTGAAACCGAGGGATAAGAAGTGCTGGCTGGCGCGGGACAGACGCCTGTGCTGGCTGGGAAGTCAAAGCAGAGAAGTATTACAGGATACTCTCCTGTCTGCATCTGAATGGCGCCTTTGAATTCTTGTCAGGGTTGGCCAGTGATGGGTGGGAGCAGGTGCTGTTCACCCGGTGGAGAACAGCAGAGCCACAGAAACACCGGATGCCAGAAACGGAGCATTACAAAAACGAACTACACAAACGATGCTGAATACACGAGTGGGATTTTAAGCTTATCACTCGTCTTTCCACCCCCCGCTGACCCCTCCCCCTCTTCTCCCAGCATCCTCCTGTGACCAGGAGCAGCAGTCGGCCCTAGAGGAGGCCAAGCACCCCAAGAACGACAACGTGGTGATCCCGGAGTGCGCCCACGGCGGCCTCTACAAGCCCGTGCAGTGCCACCCGTCCACCGGCTACTGCTGGTGCGTGCTGGTGGACACGGGGCGGCCCATCCCCGGCACCTCCACCAGGTACGTGCCTGGGACACCGAGGGGGGCTGTGGGGCGTGGGGACGCAGAGCCTGCCCCAGCACGGACACCGCCAGGCTGGGGCCACAGAGGCTCCGGGGCGAGCCCCCCCCAGCTCCCAGAACGAGGCCACCCCCCGGCTCCTGGGGCAAGCCCCCACACTGGCTCCTGGGGCGAGCCCCCTGGCTCTGGGACAGTCCTCCCCCCCAGCTCCTGGGGTGAGCCCCCCCGGCTCCTGGGGCGAGCCCCCTGGCTCTGGGACAGTCCTCCCCTGCCCAAGCTGCCTTGGAAGCTCTGGCCAGCCACAAGTCGGGAAAAGCACATTTCTGAGGGTCGCCAGGTGCCAAATATTGGGAGGAGAGCCACAGAGCCCCCAGCAGGGAGAAGGCCAGGCCTCGCTGGGGGCCAGGTGCAGCCCTTCTCGGGCCACTGGCTTTGACCACAAAGGCGAAGTGTTTCAGAAGCAGAGGAACATGACCCCGGACTAGCTGTGCATAGAATAGAAATGCTGGTGTTCTGACATTATCTTTTTCAAAGAGCGAGAATGCACTACAAGGATGTTATCCTGCGTTGTTCCTCACTGCTTTGTGTAAGTCTGAGCAGCCTGGCAACCTTGTCCCAGGCACCAAGGACACAGAGTGGCCTGCTGGACACATGGCATGGCTCTTTGTTTTATCGTGAATGCGAGGAGAGGGGTCTACTAATGGATGAGCGTATTATCTCTCCCAGGTCTTAGGCTGATTTCTGCTTTCATCTCTAATCATCTGGATGGGGCCGTGGCCATATTTCCTAAGTTGTGTTCCCCGATGTATCAAGTGTGACCCCGGCTTTCAGTAAGGAGTGGGCTGTGTAGATCATGGCTCTCAGAGAGGAGTGGGCTGTGTAGATCATGGCTCTCAGTGAGGAGTGGGCTGTGTAGATGATGGCTCTGGGTGAGGAGTGGGCTGTGTAGATCACAGTTCTGGTGAGGAGTGGGCTGTGTAGATCATGGCTCTGGGTGAGGAGTGGGCTGTGTAGACCATGGCTCTGGTGAGGAGTGGGCTGTGTAGACCCCAGGACAGGAAATAACAGACATGCCCCATCCAGGTCAAGTCCAGCCCAGCGCCCTCCATGCTCCTGAGTACAGCTAGTGCCGGCTGCAGTTGTGCCTTAGAAACCATACCGTGCAGCCTGCAGCCGGGTGCCTGTCCAACAGCCCCATGCAGGGTTCCAGAAGGCCGGTGTGGCCTCTGCCTTGTCTGAACCATCACGCTGACACAGGGCCTGCTAAGGAGAGGCTTGCATTCAACTGCACCGTGCACAGCTTGCAGTGTGGCCTTCCCGGGCTCAGCCCGGACATCTTTTGCCCCTGTGGGTGGACCAGAGCCTTTCTTTGGCACCAGCATTCCCACACGCTCCACCCCGGCTATGTTCGGCACTTCTCCCCACCAGCTCCTGCCAGCCGCAGCTCGGCTCTGCCACGTTTGGGACGGAGGTTAAGCATCCCTGGCAGGCGCCCTCTCGGCTCTGGCCAACAAAAATCTTTTAGCTGTCAAGGCCAGAACTCCTCAACTGGCTATGAAATCTGAGATCAGCATTTAGAATTTTATCCCTGAGGAATCAGAGAGAAGTTTTACATTATAACCCAGCAGACACAAAACGAACCCTCCTGTCCTCTCCCCATCCTGATTTCCTCCAGCAAAGAATTGGTTTGGGTTTCATGCTCCAAAGGAGAGGCCACGGTGGTCATCTTCTCTGCTCCTGATCACAGGAGCGAGTAGCTGCCCCTTTCCTGAGCTTTGGGAAGGAACATCAGACAGAACCGGCTCCTCAGATGCCCTGACTTTCGGCACTACAAGGCTGCACACACCACAGGGGGCCTGGCTGGCAGATGCTCCAGGGCTGGGGGAGAGGCCCAGACGGTCCGGTGGGGCTCCTCAGGCTGGGGGTGGGAGGCCCGGGATGGTCTGTTGGGACTCGGGCTGGGGGAGAGGCCCAGATGGTCTGGTGTGGCTCCTTGGACTGGGGGAGAGGCCTGGATGGTCTGGTGGGGCTCCTTGGGCTGGGGGAGGCC